TCATTTGAAAACACTTTGCATATAGACATTTTCAAATTGTAATAAACATTTGTCGTGTTAAGACTTCAACAAGACAAACGAGACCAAGCCTGCAAACTTTTAGTCCACACACCTTCCTATAAAATACATACACATCTCAAAAAACATGGAATGGATATTCAACAAATAAACCAAACATTTTTAATAAGGGTCGTTTTAAACAACAGAAAGAAATAACGTGATGTAAATCGGAAATTTTAAAAAATAAATAAATGAATACAATTAAAAATTGGATTTGAATTTTATGCTCTCTGCAATGTATTCAAACTCAAAGTGCCACATACAAGAAAAAAAAGCTTCAACGGGTCTTCGGATATCTGCAAATGCATAAAACATTCATCCAATATGAACAAGTGAATGTGAACAGCGTTTTTTTTTTTTCCGGTGTGCGTTTAATTTCCTTAAATTGCACCTGTCTTCTCCTTTCTTCTCTTCGTTCGAATAATTATTGACCTGCTCGAGGTGCGGATGGAGGGTTGGGACGGAGGGATGTAGGGAGGGGTGGTGGTGGTGGTCTTTTTTTTTTTTCTTGCTCCTCGCCTGCTAATCCCCCCATTAAAAGGCCTTTTGTTCAACAATGCCGGACAGTTTCCGGAAGTGGGATTAGCTCCACTATTATTTTGCAAAAGAAATGAAAATTCACACTCAAATGAGCCTCGGGATGTATTGAAGGGCGGACACTACATTAGGTACACCCGCACACAAGATTCGTCTATTATTGGGGGTGTGGTTTGGGATCATTTGCTTCCAAACGTGATGCAGTTTTGTTTTTAATTGTTTTTAAACGAGTCTCTTTTCAAAAGGACTCCAAGTAAAAAAAATAAGATTTGGACGTGTTGTTTTTAAAGCTCCCCCAAATAGCTTATAATATAATTTGCCGCATCATATTTTATCATAAATACATGACGATCCTCTGGGGACTTGTAATACATTTAAAAAATAATAATAAACGGCCCCTTGATAGGGAAAAAGGTCCCCACCATCCCTCCTGTGAATATTGTCACCATGTAGGCATCTGCAAAGAGCGCACCCGGCCATCTCTATAGAGTGACGTCAGGTGTGCCTAATGAAGTGACCGTCGACACAAACCAAATGGCCATCAAATGACACGTTTCGTCGGTTTACGAGTCTACTGACGCACGTGGTTTCCCAATGACAGCTGTCATGATGCTTAAAAAAAAAAAAAAATCGATGAGAGAGCTCCTCACTTCATCGGTGACATACGTGGTGTCGATGTTACGAAGGGCAGCCATAACTATTCATTTTGTCAGCATCGGCCGGTTAAAAATTTGGGGGTGGGGGCAGTCATCGATTTACGCCATACGATTTGTCCTGACGACCATTTTTCATTTTACCAGCATGAATTAATTGCTCAAAATTTTGCGATTTCGCTTGGGTCCTCGGCTTACGCCTCGTTTCGAGGTAATGAACGCCAGGAACTCAACTTCGCCCCCCGTCGCATATTTCACATTTATTTCTCCTTGACCGCAGCTGTCACTCGACTGCTTAACCAACGGCGCGTTCCGATTTACGAACCGCCATCCCGGCCGCTCATTCAAGGCCATCATTCTTGCGCACATATCGAATTAAGAGACCTTTTTCAAAGGGGCCGAAGATTGCCGTGTCCAATTGGCGCGGCGTGTTCTCAACTCCCCGGTCGTCAACGCTCTCGCGCACGCGCGCGAGAGTGTTTTAACTCCGCGCACCAAGTTGACAAGTGGAACTAAAAGGGTTTTTTTTTTTTTTTTGGTGGGGTGAAATAATAGAGAGAGGCCAGCACAAAGGACTTTTTTTTTTCTCCCCCTCCTCGGCCTCTCACATGAAGTCGCACTTCAAAAGAAGACTTTCAATTGAGATCCAACTATCTCATATAGTGTGTGTGGGAAGAAAAGCGTCGTCCGTGTTGTTTGCTCGCCGCACAAAGCGCACATCGTCACGCACTTCAAGGGGCATGACGTGCGGTCTTTGCACCCACTTGCACCAAAACTTCTTTTATCACGCATTTTAAAGTCGACCCAAAAAGTTCACTTTGAACACCGAAGCTAAAATATGAGCAGAGGTGCACAATGTGGCAAGAGGGAGGCTGGAGAGAGAGGGGGGTGGGGG